TGCCCCCCCCTTCTGGCCCCCCCCCTTTTAATCTCAAAAAAAAAAAAAAAAACAAACAAACAACTAGAAAATTCAGAGTGCATTGCCCATAGTACATATTATTTTGACAAAAGTATTTAGTTGTTTGAGTATATTAAAAAAATGTAGTTATATAAACACATATGTTTATGTATACTAGCTCATGGCATTTTATTTGTGCCATAGAATCTTGAAAACTGCACTATACTCTAACTTAACTTTATAGATTAAAAAGGGAGAATAAGAGAAGTTACATATCTTGTGCATGGTCCCTGATATATTTGAAATTTTGGTTTAATGTTTGAAACTGTATGATGGAACAACTAATAATAGCAGTAATAGCAAACTCCCTAAAACACATTTATCCTTTTTGATGCTTTTTTACAAAAAGTCCCTTTAAAAGCTTTTTGTGTATATTAGTTTATCTAATTCTTACACATTCTTGTGAGTTCAGCATTACTTTCTTGGTTTTACATGTGAAGAAATTGAAGCTCCAAGGTCAGTCTTAATTGCAAGTACAATAGATGGTAGAATTAGAATTTGAATTCTGAGTAATGGTAGTACTTGAGCTTTTGATCATTATGTTGTAGAGCCTCTAATTTGAAAATGTTTACTGTCTTGTTTTAAGGTATCATGACTACTTCTTTCATATAAGAGTGCTAGTTCATTTTCTGAGAGTGATTACATATTTTTCTTTTTTTTCCCTTTTGTCTTTAAAAACTGCTGACATACTTCAGGTTAAGTCCAAGCTTAAAATGCTGTTTTTCAATAAGTAACAATCACTTTGCATAATCATCTGTTGTTGAGGTTTATTATTTTTTTTCCTTCTGAAGTCAACAGGGCCATCCATAATCCCAGTTTTCACTACATTTTGTAATTTTTAAAAATATGAACTATTTATTTTGCATTTATTCACTGAACATCATCACAGCGTACAAGATGCAGTTTCCCATCCAGAATACACTATATAGTGGGTTACTCATACATGTTATCATCACAAATAGTTTTCTATTTCTTGATATATAGATAGATAGTTAGATATAGATATAGATATATTTTCCTTCCCCCCATT